TTTAAGCTATTTATTTCAATAGCACGCATACACATTCACTTACATAAACAACACATTTCTGCTAATAACTGCAACCCAAGAAAATTTCCTCCTTCCACACTTCCGCCAACCTGTAGGTACATTCTCTATCCCAGTTGGTTTAAGAGGCCTTAATATTTCATGCAATCGGAATGAGTGGGCTTCGAGAACATCAATTATCCTCCCAACCTGCATCTCGTTGACACCTTGACAGTGTATAAAGACAATTCGTATGTTATTTATTTAATGTACGTGCCAAAATGCCTGCTACCAGACGAAGGGAAATGTGATTCGACGCTTTCTTTTGAGGCAAAAGTCGGTTGGAAGATACTAGTCATTTGGCTACACTTAAATTTCAATTAGAATTTTCCTACGTGCCCAACCTTAGTCTTTATCGCCATGATAGTTATCATAAGAGCCAGAAAGCGTTATTTAACAGAATATCACAGACATGATAAACAACTAAAATTGGTTGGACCCAAGTTTGCTCTCTTCTCTCAAACACATTTTTCGAAATCGCTTACCCTACAGGCTTTAGGATGTGTGAATTCGATGCACAAATAAGATTGTGTAAGCTCTTTCACATTCCCCATGACTCAAGAACCTTGCAAGCACACAGTACGAATAAAAACACTCTCCTAAACATGAGTCAAAATGTCAAGAGCAAACGCTAGTTAATTTCTGTAAGGAAATAGTTGTGACCTCATCAATTTCACTCATCTTGAAGCAAGTAGCTTATATAAAAAGTAGTCAATTAAATCATTTAAATTGCCAACTTTGCTCGATTTAGTGCATCTAGTACATCTCCCCACAACAATCAGATCTGATTAGATTTCCTGTGATACCAAATTACGAAACAAACTTTCGTTTGACACATAAATTCGCGTCACGTTAACTTAATTGAGTGGCTCTTTGAAACCTGGCTCTCCCGAGTATTAATCCTTCATACTCTAGCTGAATCTGTGAATTTCATGAGCAAATTTTAGCACTCAAATCGATCTATCGCGAGTAGTACAGCTAGTAGTTGCCTACAGACCATATATAAAACGGTATGTCATATCCGAAAACTCACAAAAAGCAATAGGAAATAGTAAAAGTGTATTTTTTTATGGTTTCATTTGTATGTGAAATCCCAAAATCTGTGAACCCCTGCATTGGTCGAGCTGAGAAAGAGCTTATTTTTCATCGCCAGACTGGACAATTGTTGGCCAAACTTGCTCCTCTGGAAGTGACTTCTTTGTTAATTAATTGTGGGCCAAACTGGGTCCAGTCTTTAAATGTCTCATGTCTGAGATCCTGCATGTTCAACTATTCGAAGGTATTGCAATGCTACATAGACTTCAGATACCAGCCAGTTGTGATGCGTGTGTGATCGGAGGAATGGAGTCTAGACCCTAACAAGGCCTAGAACTGATGATGTCGGTTGGTACACTTGTGCCAAAGGCCTGGGGCATGGGATGGTGTAAATATGAGGTGGAAGGTGAAAAGGTACATGTGAAGAATTGTGCATGAGCCAGCTCTTCTGAGCCTCGACAAGCAACTTTAAACAATAGAATGCGTTTCCTTGCGCTTGGGTACCATCACTTACTGGCACATCATTCTCGACACTGACGATTGACTCAAATACTCGATCTGTACCATGTTGCGAGAGTTGACAAATCGGATCGGCTCATGCCAATTGTCACAAAGAATGGGATTATTTGGTTCTGATACACCTTCAATTTGCTTTCATCACACTTGACAGTCGGTCAGAAAGGTGCTCATGTGTACATGAGTTATGTCGACTCTTCATCTCGAAGTAAGAGTTGTGTCAAGAAGACCGCAATAAACCAAATTTCAGATTTCGTTTATCATTTCAAAGATATCGCAAGAGTGATAAGTCACCATTAATGAAAAAACACATTTAATACAGTGAACCGTTTGGATGCTATAAGCCAATTTACTCTCTCCTGGTTCATAGATTTGGAGCATTTTTTGCAGAAACAATAGTTCTTTTTGGTGCATAAGTAGAGATTCGAATCTATTAATGGAAAAGATAGCTCTAAACATATCATTGATGGAAAAGACAAATACGAGAACTTCATAACCTGAAACGAAATAAGGTGGAGACATCTCATATAAATGATAATTTCCAGTAAATGCTTTATGAAAACTCTCGTTTGATAATTGTTGAGCCTACTTTCATTTCGCGTAAAAGTGTTTGGTGAAGACATTTAAAGCGCGATTCCAACACATGACGACGACGGATTCGTCCTGATCAGTTGTCGATTGACATTACAGGAGCATGTTGATGCTGGTTTCGAGGTAATCTCCTTCTATTCCGGTGAAAATGTGTTGAGCTTTCGTCCGTCCTTTGACGAACATCATCAGAATTGAGTACGTCCTTACAACCAAATTCAAGCTAACGAGTCAAGACAACTCACATGTTCATACATAAAAAGCTGTATATATACATTATTGCTGACATATTTGATGAGGTATAAAGTGATTTGGTTAGTTAAGGTCATATGTCAACCTCGAAGCATGTGAGTGTATCTGTCTCTGTATGTATATGTAAATGTATTCGTTCGCGTATGTACGAAACCAGCAGTAATGGCCAAAGCAATTAGGACAGTAAAAGTGACGTCTGTTCTTGGCCATAAAGGTGTGATGACTACCATCAGCCCATTTCTATGTTTATATGTTTTAATCATCAGTTCGATTACGCAAGGTCGGACACATGTCTGGTTATGTAGATGAGCTTTTTTCCTTCATGTGTGTGAGAGAGAGATTGGGCTAAAAGTATGGAGAAGTGACTGTGATTCGAATTAAGACAGGAAAAGACTGATTGCAGCTCAATAATCTCTCGAATCTTTGAGTCTATTAATTAAACACAGTAAGTTTTTACTTTACTTTTTACGGGTATTCCTTGTATTCAATGTATTCCCTATTCGGTTTATTTCGATGACTTTTCCCATTTTACCATTAGCCGCAGACGAGAAGTTTGAGACCATTCAATCTCGTGTCCAGTTTCTACCTCGTGCTCAGCTACCCTTTGTTGAATGGGAAGATAAGTCTCTCCAACACAAAAGCGACCACATAAACACATCATTTTGTAGCAACCCGATCTGGAGAATTGGCCGAATTTCTCTCTAAAAGTAGGCATAACTGAAGAGAGAATGCACGAAGGTAAAGACAAAACATCAGAAAAGGTGTCTCCCTATCTTTCCTTACGTATTCACAATTTAAAAATCTATTCTTTATTAATCTAATATTATTTTTAATCAAACCTACGGGATAATTATTTCCAAGAAATATTGGTTTGCTTCGATCCAGTTCATTACCACGATGGTCATAATCAGCTGGTCGTCTGCTCCGGGTAATCACAGATTTTAAAGCGCCAACCTTTATTTTGTAAGTATGGTTAGAGTAGAAATTAACGATAAAGCCAGCATGCGTTGGCTTTCTATGTACATCCCTGTTCAACTTCTCACCTGCTCTGATTACTAAATCATTCAAAAAAGTTAAATTATTGTCCTTCTCTAACAAAATTTATATTTTAGAATTTTTAAGACCGGACTACTTAGTTATCTGTATTTAAGTAGTACGAGAGATGAGCCCGATCTACAGAAATTTAACAATTTCCCAAATCCTGTTTCGAGCCGTTTCTGACCTGGCAGAAACGGCTGAAGTTAAATTGAGCCCTTTAGCTGCCGAGTGTGTGAGCCTGAATAGCAGAAATAAATCATGATTCGTACAATACCTTCGGGGCAAAAGTTGATTGTCCTTCATCACCTTCCACGAAATGGTGTAAACACGTAGCATGTGGATGTGAGCAGTTTCGTGAATTGGACCCACAATAAATTGAATAAATAGCGCTTCTCAGATAAGACAGCAAAATAATTGTCAAGACTGAATTGTTTCAACCGAAACATGATAGCAGTACCAACCCAGAACAGAAAAAGAGGTCTGTGGTCTGATTGACCATTCAATTCCTTCAGAAGGTACTTTGGCATGAAATGTAAGTGATTATAGCAAAAACAAAAGCTTAGCCCGTTTTCACCAGAAGCCCACGAGGTTTCTTTGAACACCTTTCAATCAGATCTCACTCCAAGTAATAAAGATGTGATCTGGTGAGCTCCACTAGGCCATCTTTTCACACAAAATGAAATTTGTCACAATACAAAAGTGGGCTGACCTCGTTTTCGCAACTAGTTTGTGTCGTCAGGGCCACTTGTTGTCATAATTCCCACTCCCGGGCCGTGAACTTGGAATACTACCAGATGGACTACGATCCAACACTGGGAATTATGTCAATTAATATAGCAAAGTACTTCGAATAAGGTAGGTCCAACTAAGTCGCCCTGACAACATGATCAAGTTAGGAAAAATGAGGACTGTCCACTTCTAAACATCGAAAGGAGACTGCGACCATACCAAGTGCCACATCATCTTAGTCTTCATATCTTCGATTTCGACAATATCGTCATCTCAGAAGACCTTTGAAAACTAACTAAAATGTTACACTTACTTTTTGTGCTTTCAGAAAATCTTTGAGCACTTGACAACCCGTCCCACCTTCTCTGGCATTGTTGTCATGTCTTTGTTCAGTATCGGACCTTTGATTTAATGGAGGGGGCACTTTGGCGAGTTGAAGCTCGGGCTAAGAATGACAATGTTTACCAACTTCTGGGAATCCACTCTGTTAATGTAGCATTATTGGATGAAGACATGACAACGGTGCCAGAACAGACAGCATGAGTTGCATTCTTCGAGGTCGACCTGACAACAAAATTATTGATAAAACCCTTGAAACGACGCATGGGAAAAAAATTAACGTTTTTTTTGTATGCACCAACAAACCAGTCTCCAATTCGACTCTGGCCTAAGACATCTTTTGTCATTCCAGTCGTGTTGACGGGACGCACCAAATTGAATGGCATCTCTATAGACGGCAATTTGTCAACGGTTGCCAAGGCAACCTGCTCGTCGTCTCAGACTCGATGGTAGGCGATCTCCAGGCCAAGAAATGGGCCAAACGACCAGCAGACGTAATCTGATTGGTTTCCAGTCTCCGTCTGTCCTATTGGTCGGTAAATGGGATTTCATCGCGCCGATATATGTGTTCATGCGTGTGTGTCTATATATATATGTGTGTGTGTGTATGTGTGTATAATGTGTGTCAACAGCACGTCTGTTCGTGTCAAACCTTTACTGTCAAGGGGAAAAGGTGGAGGCGGTATGCCAGAGTGCTGGAAACGCAAGAAGAGCAGGATCCGCGACTCAAGACACCGACCATACAGCACGAGTTGACGACAATCTGTCGACCGACCAACATGACAATGTGTTGTGTAAAGCACAAACGACGTTTCGGTTGATGATAGGTTTGCCAGTTGGCGTGACTTTTGGCCAAGTCAGGTCACGGAACGGGGACACCGACCAGTCTTGAGGACAAAGGAGGACCTCTACTGGTCGCCCGGAGTACCCCTCGCACGAGCCAATCAGAAGCGGCCTTCTCATGCCGTTTTCCCAAAGTGCCCAAGTCCCCGTCCTCTTCCAGATCTACCGGCTGCTGGACCGATTCCCCGCTGGTCAAAGACTCAAAAAGGTCTAGAGGCCCCGAAATCTCCGATTGCCCGTTCCGCCCGTACAGCTAGCAGACAGACAGACACACATACATACATACATACATACATACATACAT